CCCTTGGGGCCCTTAATTCGCACGCCAGTGGGCCGCCGCACGGAACACCCCCTCCCGCCCCGGGGTCTCCCTCACTCACGCAGCCCGCCCGGGAATCGGGCCTGGAAGCAAAACGCGTGCCCCAGGGGGCCGCCGCCCGGAACACCCCCTCCCGCCCCGGGGTCTCCCTCACTCACGCAGCCCGCCCGGGAATCGGGCCTGGAAGAAAAACGCGTGCGCTTATATTCGTTACCGGATGGTAGCCGGGAGGTGGCGGGGAGGCCCCTCTCCCTGCCCGTTTATTAGGCGGATTAAGGCGGTGTTCTCCCAGCACGTGCGCCCTTGTGCGCCTGCGCGGACTCCAGGCCCGGGGGGGGGAAGTGCCTCCGTTCCCTGGGCGGAGGAGCAGCAGTAGCAGCGCCTCCTCCTCCTCTTCCTCCTCGTCACTTTTCGTTGCATTTGAGTCATCACCACTTTCTACAGCTGAGGAGCCAGAGGCTGGGAGTTCGATCCCCCAGCACCACCACCACCACCACCAAATAGTTGCCTCCTGGGCGACTCCATCGATGGTCCCTCTTCCAGCCCTGCAGGTCTAAGACGGAGTCCCCTGGCGCCCAAGGCCGGCGAGGGGACAATGTTCCTGCGAAATCTCCCTTTGCGATCCCCTCCAGAGGTGTGATCGCTCTCTTGTCCTTCCAGATGAGGATGATCGGCACAAGTGTGGCCGTTGCCAGGCAGAGTTCACCTCGTTGGAAGATTTCGTCCAACACAAGCTGCAAAAGCTTTGCCAGAGGCAACAAAATGCAGCAACAGCAGCAGCAGCAGCAGCGACAACAAGCACGGCAAGTTTTACGTTTCCTCAGACAGGAAGTGGGCGAAGCCGATGGCTGGATTCTGCTCAAGCCCTGACTCTGGTTGCCAGGGCAACCATCCCATAGTGTGGGGAGGGGAGGCCATAACGACCTTGCCCTAATATTTCTGGGTAAGAGCCGTTGGGGGAAGGGCTCAAGACTGGTGGTTGAGAGAATTCATTGCCAAAGGACAGAAATGGCATGAAGCAGGGGGTGGGAAGAGTTAGCACGGGACAAATCAGAGTTTGAGAGATGTTTACTGGCACGAAGCTCAGCCCTTTGGGACTTGTTTCCTTACAAAAGTTCGTTTTGTTGCATCAGGGGATCCCTTCTGTTGACGAGCCTATCACTGTCGCTCACATAGTTGTGGAGGCTTCACCAAGAACAGAAGAGATCAGCAGCGCGTCGGCCATTGTAGGTAATGAATGAGCCTCAGCCTTTTGGAGTTGTCGACATCACGTATTCAATCCAGAGAGTTTTTGATTCCTTACTGACATGCTGAGTGAGAGCAACAGTAATGGAAGAAAAAACAGCGATAAAAAGGATAGCAAACAGATCATAAATAAATGTGTGGTTGAGTGAGCTACACCCCATGGATGCAATGCAGAGTAGTGGGAAACCAAGTAAAAATTAGTGTGTGTTTTAGCTTCTTTCAAGCTGAGTGAATTACTAACAGTGGAAGATGACACTCATTGTAAGTCAGCGCAAGAGTGATGTCCACAGATTTGAACAAAAAAAAGCATATGGGGAAAATGTCAACTTTATGTTCTCTTCTGGCTAGTATTGTTCAGAATTCTTTTCAGCAAAGAGACCGCTTTGGGTCTCACATAAAGCATGCAGCGGTCTTGCAATTATCTTTGCAGATGGTAGCCACCACATCAAGGAAGTCATTGTAACTGGTGACCATGTCTTTGAAAGCCCCAATGGCCACCTTGAGTGTGACGTTGGAGAAGGACAGGACAGTCCCGGAGGCCCAGAAGAAGGGGCTTCCCTGGAACTCATCAAAGTTAAACTCCTGGTTAACAAGGAAGGCCGTTATGTGTGCGAACTGTGCCACAAGACATTCAAAACGGTACGTTGAAAATGTATAGCAGGGCATGATCCCTACTACTGGATAAATGATATGGTTGTGGAGCTCTTCAGAAATCTTGGCTGTGAGAGGGATCATGTGGGGCTACAGGTTACAGTTCCATAATAGGCGTTAACCTCAATGTGAGTGTGCTGGGTTCTGTTGCAAATCACCTTTTCCTCTTGATCTAGGCCAGCATTCTGAAAGCTCACATGATCACTCACAGCAGCAGGAAGGACTACGAGTGCAAATTATGCGGAACATCTTTCAGAACCAAAGGTTCACTCATCCGACACCATCGGCGCCACACAGGTGAGGAAACGCGGCGTGGTTTGTTGTAAAATGGGCAAGACCACTGAAGCCTCTGAACAGGGCTTGAGATAAAAAGAACAAGCCTCCCGGGGAAAGGGAGTAGGGGGTAGGGACAGAGACAATTGGGTAAGGATCAGGCCAAATGGCAAGCATTGTCAGCTTTGCCTAAGAGATTTCCAGCAGCAAATTCCTGGTGTTGCAGCCTCAAATGTCTTCCTAGCTCAATCACTTTTCTTTCCAGTATAATAAAACAAGTTGGGTGTTACGATCATAACTTTCCACTAGGATCTGCTCTCACAGCAGATCTGCTTGGTTGGTCAGTTTATTGGAAAAGACTGGTTTCTTCGCCGCAACTTTTTGGAGGTAATGATTCTTCTGCCTTTTATTCACAATTTGTCTAGATGAACGTCCTTATAAGTGCAAGAAATGTGGGAAAAGTTTCCGGGAATCAGGAGCCTTGACTCGGCACCTCAAGTCCTTGACTCCCTGTACAGAGAAAATCCGCTTCAATATGAACAAGGAAATAGTTGTTAGCAAGGAAGATTTAAGCACAGGTGAGGTGAAAGGTTTGGGGTGCTCCTTGGCTCTGTCTGTCGGTCTTTTCCAGATGCTGCTGTGAGGTGGAAAAAAGATTCAGTTTGCAATTTTGTTGAGTGAGGAGGGCGGTGGTGGCAGTGGCATTGTGGAGGGGGGAATAGGGTGGGGCCCATTGGATCTCACTTGTGGGTCCATGAGATGCGGATGGCGAGAGAGTTGTTTGGCAGTGTGACGGTCCATTTATGTTCCTTTCTCAGGCACTGATTAGTCTTGGGTGCGAATGGGTCCCTCGGCCTGACCTCCCTTCACAGTGGTTTGAGAGGAGAAAGTGAGGTGAAGAGCGAAGCACTTAAGTTAGGGGGAGCTGGCCCTTCTCGGTGCACAAGCAGCCAGTAAAAAGCCAAGCGATGCTGAACAATACTCCTGTGAGGTCTTTCCTTGTGTCTCTCTGTGTGTGTTGTTCAAGCAGCAGTGCTGCAACTCAAGGGACCCTCGTTGGAGTCTTTCCTTAAAGGCAGGCTGCAACCGGGCATCTGCAATAAGAGGTTAACCCTGGGCCACTTGGAAGAGTTGTTTGTAAGAACTTCAGTGAGATCCTGTTTGGGGTTGCTGGACCCATTTTTGTGGGAGAATGACAGATGACGTCAGTTGGGGGAGGCCGGGTGCGTCGCAGGGGACAGGGAGTCCTGATAGCAGCACCTCAGACCAAGACCCACTGCTTAAGTTGTGTCTTCTGCCTTCTCTGAAGAACCCGACAGTTGCAGCCCTGAAGCTGTCCCTTCTTCGCTGGCGCCTCCGTCCATGGAGTCTTCGCCTGTCATCCATCTGGTGACGGATGCCAAAGGCAACGTCCTTCACGAGGTCCATGTCCAGATGCAGGAGCTCCCGATTTCGGAAGCCAAGGCATTAACCCAAGAGGTGAGGCTGCTCGTCTTGCTGTCCAGTTGTCAGCGAAGCAGGGGGAGGCTAAGGGAGGTGGGCCGGCTTCCGACGGGTCTGAAGCAAGGCCGGGCAAGATGCTGCCCTCCCAGCGCTGTATAATGAATGGCATCTTGTCTCTGCCGCCATCAGTTAGGACAGATGGGGCTTGTGGGCTGTGCAGTCCAAAAACAGCTTCTGCAGGGCCATGCTCCTCCTCATCCCCAAAAGGTGTTGTGGAAATGGTTTTCATGGAAAAAGTGAAGCTCAACAGGAGAGGTTGGAGATCTGGGCTTCTCTTCCTGTTCAACCACCACTGATCTGCATTCTTGTTTCTTTCAGCCTTCCAATCCAGAGGAGCTGCCTCCTGACACAGATGACAGCGAGAACCTGCTGAGAGAAGCCATGAGGAATTCTGGGATTGTGATCGAACGGGTTTCCTTGGAGGAGGCAGCCAAATCCGATGAAGCCGATGTGGCGGCGGCCCTGGCAGAGGAGCTGAAAAGCGAACAGGTGGAGACAGCTGGGAAGTTGCAGGAAGAGCAGTATGTGGAGATTGAACAAGTAGAAACGGTACGTTCACTGCAGCAGCTGCGCTCCGAGTATTTAGCCCACGGTGTCTCTCTGGCAGAAGCTAACGGAAGTTTGCTCTCATGCAAGAATGGCTGCCGAGAGGAATCACCCACAGTGCAGGAGCCTGGAACAGGTGTTCTCTGCTGCCTTTCATTCTGCAGTCTCTACACAGCGTAGTTCACCTCTCTTTATCTTGTAAACCCTTCCGGTATTTACGCGAGGCTTCTTTTGCTCCATAGATAGATGCAGAAGTGCCTAATGAATGCAAACGCCATGCGTGTCCTTACTGCAGCGAAATCTTCAGGGAGCCCGGCTCCCTCGAACTCCACATCAGTGGGCATCTGGGTAAGAAGGACGTCCAGCTATATTGCTGAATAGTTTTTTTAAACAGATACTTTGTTTTCTTCAGTTGCACATAATAGTTTCGGTGGTGTGAAAACAAACTTGCTTGCTTGCCAAAAAATAGCAGAAGCAGCTGTAAAAGCAGTTCCTATTTTGCAATTTGGTGCTTAACAATGGCGAAAGCCCCCCAACTTCCACCTTCAGTCTTCCCCGTTTGGTGAATACTCTCTTCCCTCTTTCTTTGTCTCCAGACTACAAACCTTTTACATGCGAGATGTGTGGCAAGGAATTTGCCAAAGGCTACCTGCTGAAAAAGCACCAGGAAGTGCATGTGAATGAGCGGCGGTTTCGCTGTGGGGAATGCGGCAAGCTGTACAAGACTATCGCGCACGTGAAGGGGCACCGGCGGGTGCATTCGGATGAGCGTCCGTACCCTTGCCCCAAATGCGGCAAGAGGTACAAAACAAAGGTAGAAGCTGCCTCCGTATGCTGAGTGGGGGGTGGAGAGGCCTGGCCCATTTTCTTCTGCAGCTGTAATTGAGTGGTGGTTTCTTCTAGCCATAGGAATGTTGACCTTGCTTTATTACTGTGAAACAGAGGAGAAAAGAACAGGGTTACTCTGCAGTGCCCTGCGCTGTGCTGTAGAGCAGGGCAGGCAAAGTGCAGCCCCCCCAGTGGCTCTCGGGGATCCCCCCCACTGAAAATAGGGTTCTTCCAGCAAAAGAAGGGGTCACAGTATCCTGGAAATCACATGCATATCAGTGGCCCTGCTCCCAGGCAGGCAGTGTTTAACATTACAAAGGACTTAATGAATTAAACTTGACATGGACTTTGTTTATTTTTGGATTCTGAGTCCAGCTCTTTCCACTATCGTCCTCTCTGACAGAATGCCCAGCAGGTCCACTTCCGGACACACCTGGATGAGAAGCCGTACATCTGCCAGTTCTGCAACCAGGGCTTTCGGGAAAAGGGCTCTCTGGTGCGTCACATCCGCCACCACACCGGAGAGAAGCCCTTTAAGTGTTACAAGTGCGGCCGTGGTTTTGCAGAGCATGGCACCCTCAACAGGCACCTGAGGACGAAAGGTGGGTGAGCTGCGGATGGTCTGACTTGGGCTGTGTGTGTGCTTTCCTACTTGCACCATTTCAGACATGTCGGCCTTTAAAGGTGCCCCAAAGGTTGGCAGGTGTTTCCAAATACTCCAGTTGCAGATGAGGACAGGAAGGAAGAGGACCTCAGTCGGGTGTATGCTTCAGAGCCTTCCTACTCCTGATTAGTTAAATTGGAGCAGATAATCCAAAGTCAGAGTATACATTTTGTCTGCATACCTTGCCCTGGTACATTTTAGGGAACTCGCAGGCTATTTCTGTTCCCTGGTGTGGTGTGACCGATAGGGTGATGGTCCAGGACTGAGAAGATCTGAGTTCCAAGTCCCTGGTCAGCTCACATCTCTCTGTGTGCAGCATTGGTAAAACCACTCCTGAAATATATCGCATATCTTTAAAACCATTCTAGGGTTTCTGTAATTCAGGGGCAACTTGGCAGCAAATAACAAGCGACTTCTAGCTGTCACAGTTGTACCAGGCGGACCTTTTCTCTTGTTGATTCCATGGTTCCTGAACGGTCCGGTCCTCTGTCTTTGCCAGGCGGGTGCTTGCTGGCTTTGAAAGAAGCTGAAGAAGCCGTGGGATCAGAGGAAGGCCAGTCGGCCGACAACGTGGCTGCAACGGTGATTTCCGAGGACCCCCCTACTGTCCTGGTGGAATTCTCTTCCGTGGTGGCCGATACACAGGAGTACATCATTGAGGTGACAGAGCAGGGAAAGGCCTCCTGCAACAGAGAAGGGCTCCTCCATTAAAGGGTGGTTGGGGTGGAGAGCCATGAATTAGGAAGGATGTTTCTGTGACCCGGGTTATGGTCCTTTCCATCACACCCACTGAACAGAATGCCTCACAAGAGGGCAGGGTGGTTTGTGTGCGCCTCCCAGATGGAAAGGCGCTTCTGGCAGCAAACAGTATTCCTGCCGTTCCTACAAGCTAATGTCTTGTTTTTGTTGCCTCCGCGTTCCTTTTGTTTTAAAGACAGCAACTGAAGACATGGAAACCAGTGAAGCGGCTGACCTCATAGAAGGCACAAGGCACGAGGTAGGTGATGGGGAAAGTCTTTGGATCTTCGGCATGCAAAGCCTGCCCCCTGGGGCTCCTCTTGCTTTTTATGGCAGCTGCTTCCAGGAAGGAGTTTCTTCCCAGTTCTTGGCTGCTGTTCTGTGATTAAAAGGATGCTGCTCAGGTGGCTCCTTGGTCTTCAGAATGAAAGCCACCCTCTCCTGTTTTCTCCTTGACTGTTGCAGTTCAGTGGAGGGAGAGGGAGAGCTTGCCAGCCTTGGGCTTGGCCCTGCAGGCTGGATTACCACAAGGCCAGCTGGATCCTCTCAGCCATCTTGCTTCTCCCCCCCCCCAAGTGGTTGAGAGCGGGGGCCGCTTTGACTCCCGCTGGCCAAGACCTGTGGAACGCAGAAGACAAACTTGCAGAAGACAAACTCGTTGAGGCGGTGGACCTCTTCTCATTGCTTCCTGACCCTGGCAGGAGAGCGGGTGGGTGGCTTTGCCCTTGTGTTCAAGCTGCCCCCTGCGTCTGCTTGGAGTGCCTCTGGGTGTAAACAGCCACAGCCGGAGGCAGCAACACCATCTGCTGTGCATGCTGACAGCCCTTCTGTGATGGAGAGCTTTCTTCAGGCAGGTCTCTCGATCAGAGCTGTAGTTGGAGACCTCTGCCCTGAGCACGTCCAATTCTGTGCGAGTTCTTGACCACGTGCTGTGACATGCGCTGCAGCTCCCAGCAGGCCTCACCAGCACAGCCCCTGCCAAAGGCTCACGGCCGCTGCTGTCCAGTGTCTCAAGGGCTGGCTCACTAAGGTGTCCACCACAGAACCCATCTCACGGTCTGCGCTGTCAGAACGGCCCTCCAACTCCTTTGCGATCGTGGGCAGAAGTCCAGGCTCGGGCCGAAGAGGGTAACGTGTGTCCTCTCTGCCTCTTCTCCCGCAGGTGGACAGTCACATCATGAAAGTGGTGCAGCAGATTGTCAACCAAGCCAACTCTGGTCACCAGATCATTGTCCAGAACGTCACGGTGGCCGAGGGTCCCGCCCTGTCCCCCGACAGCACGGACGGCGACACAATTGCCATCGCCACCCCAGAGAGCCTTACGGAGCAGGTGGCCATGACGCTGGCGTCTGCCATTGGCGAAGGAGCTGTGCTGGCGACCGAGGAGGGCGGGGAGGCCGAGGAGGCGACGGTGACCATGGTGGCTTCCGAAGACATCGAAATCGTGGAGCACTCGGGGGAGTTTGTGATCGCCTCCCAGGAGGAGGAGGAGGAGGCGGTGGAGGAGGTTCAGGCAGTGATTGTCTAGGGTGGCCTGAGGGCCCCCTCCCCAAGGGGGAAACAAGAGCGCCGCACCTTGGCTTTGCTGCTCGGCTGGTCCTCAGCACGCAGGTGGGAGAGAGCCTGGGCTGGCTCTGCACGTCCACCGGCCCCGGGGGTGGGGGGGGGAGAGAGAGAGTCACGGGATCAGTCCGCTTGTAGGCTGGTCCTCTCCCGAAGAGCATTGGAAGGGCTGAGAGCTCTTGGCTGCCTCCTACAGGTGCCAAAGGGAAAGCGGAATCCTTCATGGCACTGGGGGGCCAGCTGGGGTTTGTGGAACCCAGCTGGCATCTTGAACCAAGCACTTTATCTTAGTTGAGGAGAGAAAGGGGGGGGAGAGAATTTGCAGGGAAACTTAACTATGCCACAAGAGGCTCCTTCACAGGGTGGGCCAGACTGCTTAAGGTATGGAATGTAAGCTACTTTGTTATGAACATGAACCTTAAAGAAAGGTTTGAAAACGCTTTACTACTACAATATTAAAGTTATTTTGAAAGTATACCTAGAAAATGCTATGTAAAGACTACTTACATTTCTGTTTTGTAACCATGTAGCTTTTAATTGCATAGTGTACAAAGTAGTTGTAAATACTTTTGGAAATCCATAATTTTTTTACATAAGTCTGAAAAAAAAAAAAAGAAGCTCTTATGAACTGAAATTCACGTTAAAAAGGCTGTTCCCTCTCTCATCGTCCAGTGGTGGTTCTCAAAGGAAAAAGAACTGCTGGAACAACACTGTGAGATGCTTTGATTTTCATTTATGTTCCACTGCACTCCTGATCTGAAAAGGGCCGGATCCCAGAACAATACCAGTATTCTCTATACCCATCAGGATTATTTATTAGATTTATACACCACCCATCTAGAACATGTCTACTCTGGGCAGTTTACATATAACATAAAAATAAACAGGTAAAATCCAAATTAATCACAGAGTCCAAGATGGGAAAAGGAAAAAAGAAGAAAGAGAGGAAAAAGGAAAAGGAAGATAGGCTAGGTCATGGCTGTAGGGAAGGGAAGGCCTGCCTGTCCAGGCCATGCCTTCAAGCTAGTCTTGAAGGTCCTTGTTTCTTGTACTCCCATGGAAGCAGAAGAGCGGCAGCTGGCCAGCTGGACAACAGCTTCCAGTATCCCCGACCACTGGCTGGGGCTGAAGAGAGCTGGCATCTAGCAGTAGCTAGAAACTGACACGCCTGTATCTGAAAATCCATCTATCTGAATTTCCAGTCTGCAAGTTCTCTGTGAAATGAGGAGGCTTTGTGGGCTAACGCACAACAGAGAGGGGGTGGTGGAAGACAGGTATGATAGCGACAGGGGGAACTCCTTTGCCAGACATAACCTGAAATCCTGGGGCGCCTTGCCCAGGTCCGTGAGAGCAAAGCTCCTCAAGCCACCGGTGGGACAGGGGACTCACCTTCGCTTTTTGGCAGGGCTCGTAAGAGGCTTCACAATTTCTCTTAGGTTCCTCCAGACCCCTCTGGAGTAGATATTTTTGTAGCTGTTCTGTTTGTTGCCCTGTTGAGCATATGGACCGGTCCCTCTTCTTGACTTAAACCACTCATTACTTGTCTGATTTGTCAAGACCAGGTAGGAGGTAAAGCAGAGGTAGGAGGCCAGGATGAGCGAGAGGACGAGGACAAACCCAAGCATGAACACAATCCTGGGGAAGGTCAGAAAAAGGTGCTGCAAAGAGGGAAAAAAAACAGAGCTGGAGCCAAGGCCTCGCAAAGGGGAAACGCTGAGCCGGCACTCGAAGACACACGCACACATGCAAGGTCTCCTTCCTCTAGAAAGCGCACCTGACAGTCGTCTTCTTGACTGCAAACACCACCCCATCAGGAGACATGCTGAGCCTCCAAATCATAGGTGGAGTGAAAATTTCAGCCGTCCCAGCATTTCATGTGTGGCTTGGGGGGGGGGGAACCATTGGCGAGAAAGATCCAATTAACTGAAGCTCATGTGCAGCAAATAGTTTGGCATCCAAGCACTGCGTAGAAAAGAACTCGCTGTGTGTGTTTACCTGAATGAGGAAGAAGGCATCAACCGGGTGCTCCTGTCCTTCCCCGTCCGTGTAATGCCCCTGCATCAGGCTTGACAGAATGACGACTTGGATGAGGAAAGCACCGGTGATGATGGTGATGGAAGCGGCCATGGAGGTCAGGGTGAGAAGGTAGATGAGGAAGTACCTGGTGTTGAAGGCGCCAATGCAATTGTTGACCCAAACGCAGTGGTGGTCGAAACGATGCACGCAGCAGTTGCACACGCCTGGCGAAAACCAACAACAGAAGGATGTGGATTCCCAAGGAATTGGGCCGAAGCACCTGAGTCGCAAACATTCTTACGAGGCCCAGGCATGCCAACCGGCAATCTCCGCTCGGGGGAAAGAGCCCTAGACAGAGAGAAGGCTCAGTCAGGCTAGGTCAGCTGAGGTGGGGGGGGGGATTAAATGATTATTCTTACCACAGTGCTTAGACCTGGCAGGTTTCCTCACTTTGCAGGTGGCACACTCGACACCCTTTTCAAACATCATGCCATCGTAGGGGTAGGCATGGACAAACACAGCCTGGTTGTGTTGCGTTATAGTTCCTGGGGAAAGGAAGCAACAATGGTTACCGCTAACAGAAATCTCCATGAACAGGGCAACTAGAGTTTGCCTGCCCCTAAAATTCTTATTTGTCTCCTGGCTTCCAAACCAGGAGTTTATGCAAGGATGTTACTCACTAGAGCCATTTTTACCCAGTGGGGCTGTAGCCCCTGATGTATTGGGGCCAGTAGACGTGCTGGGGTTTTTTTCCCCCCCGAAAGCCTAAGGCATTGTGGCAAAATGCGTACTGTGTGTTTGAGGAAGGGGAGGATAATCCATGAAACCTCCGGCTGAAACGACACAATACTTCTGTTTTCCTTTTCGGTTTTCAGTGAGGGCAATTCTGCTGTCTGGAAGTGACACTTCCAGGCACAAGCGATCTTACCGGGGTCAGTCTTGGAGCAGAGAATAAAGAACCCCACGTTCACCAAGAGCAGGAAGTAAGGCAAAAGGAGGAAGAACCCACTGAACTCCAGTTCCCTGCAGTAGCCGAACACCTCCCAGGTGTACTCGCCATAAACCAAGGCTTCTAAGATCAAGTGCAAGACGACAAACGTGCAGTTGCTGCAGGGGGGAAAAAGAAGGAAAGAGGCACACGACCGGCCTGTCACTCCGAAATGAAGCAGCCATGTGTGCTCTTGGGATCTGGATTGTGCAGCCTCTGGTATTTTCCAAGGGAGGGGGAAACTGTCCTCAAAACACCCGAGAGGTTAAAACATTTCTCTTGAGCATGGGACCTTCCTAACAGATCTTCTAACGTGTCCTGTTTTTAAACCACTGTGATTATATGTTGCAATCTCAAACCCACTTAAGTGGAAATAAATCCCACTCAACTCAGCAGGGTTTACCTCTGAACCACATATAAGATGATTCCATTGCAAAACTATGGCCGTGTCTTTTCATTCATACACCCACCACACACTGCTTATTTGCTAACATCTGGTTCCCAGCACCAACAAGTGTGGGAAAACTAGCCAGAAGCTTAACTTTTCCAGCCGCTCAAACTGGGACCCCTGGATTCTCGATCCCTTAACACAATAGTCCTCAACCTTGGGCCTCCAGATGTTCTTGGACTACAACTCCCAGAAGCCTTCACCACCACCTCTGCTGGCCACGATTTCTGGGAGTTGAAGTCCAAGAACATCTGGAGGCCCAAGGTTGGAGACCACTGCCTTAACAAGCCACCATCGGAAGTTGGCCCAAGATTCTTGGCTTCTTTGGAAATAAGAAAGCAGTGATTCTGTTCTGGATCTCTGGGTCATCTTTTGCTTCATGGTTAATTTAGGCACCACTTACTGCATGACAGTAAGAGGGAAGCAGAGAGGCTGCGGTTTGTGTCTTCCCTGTCCCAAAGGACTCATCCTGATACAATGGCAGAATCGGTCTTCCACTACAGCACCTTCCTTACAGTCTGAGAAAGGGGGGGGGGCGTTTTCCAGGAGAGCTTAGGAACTTAGGATGGGGAGGAAGAGAAGATCATCCTTTAAAAGCTACCCTGCAGAGCTACAGCCATCCAAAAGCGAAGTATGCGGATGAAGCCCAAGGAAGGGAGCAAGTAAAAAGAAAAAACAGGCAAGAAATACCGAGTATGGAAGAATTTGTGGAGCAGGCTGTGTGCAACTCCTTGGATTTGGGATGGGATGATGCGTGAAATCACCTGCAACAAAGAAAACAGAGTAGCAACCATGAAGAAAGGTGGAGCATACAAGAAGAAAACAGCCCTGCTCACCCATATTTGTCTCTATCCTGAGGGTGACGGGCGGAACCCCAATCTGATTTTGAAAACAGAAGAATTTAGCAACCCGTTACTGGTGTGATGCGTCAGTTTTTGCAGTCTGCTTAATTAAACCTCTTTGTGGGCAGGATCACTTCAGACTACATGTTGACTCCACATGAAGGAATGGAGCCCTGAAAAAGGTGATGGAAGGAGAGACACTTGTGTTCATAGAGAAAATGAATACATCAGAGGAAAGACCGGGGGTGATCCTTGCCCTTAGGAAGGGCAGGATTTTTGCACAGAGCCCGGAGCCTGCCCTGTGAATGAACATAAGACCGATCAATTTACCACATCACCTGCTAATTGAAAGAAATGGGTCTGCATCACTTTACATGATGGGCTTGACAGACACAAGAGAGAATATAGGATGCTGCTTCACAGCAAGGCAGACCGTGGGTCTGTTTAGCTCAGCAGTCCTTTCTATGGGTTTCCCCAGTCTAACGAGAGATTCCAAGGACTGAATGAGACCCTTTCTGTGTGCAAAGCAGATGGTCTGTCTCTGACCCATAGCCACGGAAAGGAGTTTCAGCCAATGCTGCTTTTCTCATCCTTGTAGCAAACGTTGGGACAAAGTGTGTTTAATGTTTATATGTAACATTATATAATATTTATACTTCAATAAGAAACAAAGGAACACAAAGCCCGATAAGACTGCCTAAAAATCCTGCATTTCTTGAATGTCTCTTTCTGGTTTTCTTGCAAAGACAGAAATGTCTTTGTGAATGAAAGTTCAATGACAACCATGTAATTTGTGTTCAGGGTTAATCTTTATATTCCTTAAAAAAAAGAGGGAGAGAAGCTAAAGGGACCAAAGACTTTTAGCCCTTGCAGCTTTGGGGCAGTTGCTGACCAAACAACCCTCAGTGCTTTGGGAAAACAAAGGAGGAATATAAACTCATATAATTAAAAATAAATACAGTACTAGGTCTATGAATACTGAAGACCCAGCACTTAACAGTAGCCCTAAAGGGAAAATAGCTGGAAACACAGGAGGTAGGATAGAAGAAGTGCAACTGAACGGACAGCACTTGCCGAGAAAGGAGAGGTGGAACAAAGGGATACGACATGAATTAGAGCAGGTGCATCATGAAAAGCATGAGGGCTATCTTGGCTTCCCCCCCCCTCCCCCATCATCCTTGCCCTTCAGCTCTATTTTGGGGAAGGTTTGTTTTTCTCAAGCCAGTTCATATATCAAACATCAGATTCTGAGCTAGGATTGCTCTGCCATTAGCTTCTCTCTCTCTCCCCCCTTTCCTTTCCCTGCAAGAAGGATTGCATTTGGCTCTTGGCACTCAAGAGACGTGTGGCAGATACAGAGAGGCTAAGAATAATTCTCCTTGGCAGGCATCTGCTCTTTTTATCTCTACTTCAAACACCTAGAAATGATAAAAGAGAACGAGAGGAGTTTTCTTCTACTGAAGACATTCTAAATACACTTGAGGCTGCTACATGTCTGTCTGTTTCTGAGCTGGGGGGCAGAAGAGGGTTTCCCCAAGAGAACCAGATTGCCTTAGCACAAGGTGTGTGTGTGTGTGTAGTTCAGTGTGAGACATTCACATTCCCCTTATACAAAAATTGTATTCTGAAAACCTTAAATTAGATTCGAAATATATCTGTGAAAGTTTTTCTTGACTGTTGCAAGCAGCCTCAAAATGCATGCATTAACCTCTCTAAAGAGCGTAACTTCCAACCATCTTGTAATTGTGCGCCATAACTCTGGCTTAAGAAAAGCCTTCCGTTTTCCATCCTAAGTTTTGCCTCCTCAACCCCACCCCAAAAGCAAGATTTTTGCGCAACCGCAGGAAGCATGGGACAACGGTGAGAGGGAAACTGACCAGCAAATGTGATAGAAACAGGCGTGGCACATATCTAAGCACCACCACCTCTGTGGGTGCAGGGATACACATGGGGTTCAGTCCTAAAGTGGCAGAAAACAGGGAATACAACTCACATTCACCTCTCTAAAGACCGTAACTTCCGACCCTCTTGTAATTGTGCGCCATAACTCTGGCGTAAGAAAAGCCTTCTGTTTTCCATCCTAAGTTTTGCCTCCTCAACCCCACCCCAAAAGCAAGATTTTTGCGCAACCGCAGGAAGCATGGGACAACGGTGAGAGGGAAACTGACCAGCAAATGTGGTAGAAACGGGCATGGCACATATCTAAGCACCATCACCTCCGTGGGTGCAGGGATACACATGGGGTTCAGTCCTAAAGTGGCAGAAAACAGGGAATACAACTACGACCGGTGCAACCACAACCCAGCAAGAGAAGGGAAGGGAGGGAGAAGGCCTGATATGGTCAGCCTTAACTCAATGCCTTACCCGGCTTACACAAGTGAAAGCCCTTGAGGGCAAGCTCTGCTTCCTTCCAGAACAGACACAGACAAGGAAGATGCTGAGCAGGACCAGGAGCACGTAAAGGAGGAAGAGGACCAAGAAGTCCATCCTGAGCTGGAAAAACGGCACAACCACCTTGTCAGGTAGGAACCGGGCTCTGCGTCATCCGATCCCTCGGTGAGCCAAAGGGGTCCCTGTAACAACCAGGAGCCAGATCCGGGAATGAGGAAAAGCTCTACACGTAGGTCATACGACTTCAAGGTCCTGCTCTTGAGGCTGGGCTCCTTCAAACGCAGCAGTCGCCCGGGTCCAGGGCCGAGTTAAGTCATCAGAGCTTTAAAAAAACGGTGGTGGACGTGACCCTTTCTGTGTTTGAGAAAACAAGGGTTTGTGAGAGGAAGGCTGCGATCTCTAAGCCCAGCTGAGCCCTGGAGGTGGCTCCCTTTTCCCCTTGG